CTTAGAACTGCTTTTCCTGCATCCCATAGGTTTTGGATCATCGTGTTTTCATTGTGATTTGTCTGTAGGTGTTTTTTGATTTCCTCTTTGATTTCTTCAGTGATCTCTTCGTTATTTAGTAATGTATTGTTTAGCCTCCATGTGTTTGTGTGTTTTACGTTTTTTTCCCCGTAATTGATTTCTAATCTCATAGAAAAGACGTGGTCAGAAAAGATGCTTGATTTGATTTCAGTTTTCTTAAATTTACCAAGGCTTGATTTGTGACCCAAGATGTGATCTATCCTGGAGAATGTTCCTTGTGCACTTGAGAAGAAAGTGTAATATGCTGTTTTTGGATGGAATGTCCTATAAATATCAGTTAAATCTATCTGGTCTGTTGTGCCATTTAAAGCTTGTGTTTCCTTACTAATTTTCTCTCTGGATGATCTGTCCATTGGTGTAAGTGAGGTGTTAAACTCCCTCACTGTTATTGTGTTACTGTTTATTTCCTCTTTTGTAGCTAGCTGTTAGCAGTTGCCTTATGTATTGAAGTGCTCTTATGTTTGGTGCATATATATTTATAATTGTTTTCTCTTCTTCTTGGATTGATCCCTTGATCATTATGTAGTGTCCTTCCTTGTCTCTTGTAACATTCATTATTTTAATGTCTATTTTACCTGATATGAGTATTGCTACTCCAGCTTTCTTTTGATTTCCATTTGCATGGAATATCTTTTTCCATCCCCTCACTTTCAGTCTGTATGTGTCCCTAGGTCTGAAGTGGGTCTCTTGTAGACAGCATATGTATGGGTCTTGTTTTTGTATCCATTCAGTGAGCCTGTGTCTTTTGGTTGTAGCATTTAATCCATTCACGTTTAAGGTAATTATCGATATGTAAGTTCCTATTACCATTTTCTTAATTTTTACGGGTTTGTTTTTCCGGGTCCTTTTTTCCTCTTATGTTTCCCACTTAGAGAAGTTCCTTTAGCATTTGTTGTAGAGCTGGTTTGGGGGTGCTGAATTCTCTTAGCTCTTGCTTGTCTGTAAAGCTTTTGATTTCTCTGTTGAATGTGAATGAGATCCTTGCCTGGTAGAGTAATCTTGGTTGTAGGGTCTTCCCCTTCATCACTTTAAATATATCGTCCCACTCCCTTCTGGCTTGTAGAGTTTCTGCTGAGAAGTCAGCTGTTAATCTTATGGGAGTTCCCTTGTATGTTATTTGTCATTTTTCCCTTGTTGCTTTCAATAATTTTTCTTTGTCTTTAATATTTGTCAGTTTGATTACTATGTGTCTCGGCGTGTTTCTCCTTGGGTTTATCCTGCCTGGGACTCTCTGAACTTCCTGGACTTGGGTGGCTATTTCCTTTCCCATGTTAGGGAAGTTTTCGACTATAATCTCTTCACATATTTTCTTGGGTCATTTCTCTCTCCCCTCTCCTTCTGGGACCCCTATAATGTGAATGTTGTTTTGTTTAATGTTGTGCCAGAGGTCTCTTAGGCTGTCTTCATTTCTTTTCATTCTTTATTCAGTTCCGTGGCAGTGAATTCCACCATTGTGTCTTCCAGGTCACTTATCTGTTCTTCTGCCTCAGTTATTCTGCTATTGATTCCTTCTAGTGTATTTTTCATTTCAGTTATTGTATTGTTCATCTCTCTTTGTTTGTTCTTTGATTCTTCTAGGTGCTTGTTCTTTAATTCTTCTAGGTCTTTGTTAAACATTTCTTGCATCTTTTCGGTCTTTGCCTCCATTCTTATTCCGAGGTCCTGGATCATCTTCACTATCATTATTCTGAATTCTTTTTCTGGAAGGTTGCCTGTCTCCGCTTCATTTAGTTGTTTTTCTGGGGTTTTGTATTGTTCCTTCATCTGGTACATAGCCCTCTGCCTTTTCATCTTGCCTATCTTTCTGTGAATGTGGTTTTTGTTCCGCAGGCTGCGGAATTGTAGTTCTTCTTGCTTCTGCTGTCTGCCCTCTGGTGGATGAGGCTATCTACGAGGCTTGTAACAGTTGCTTTTAAATGAAGGAGCTGATGCCCAAAGATGTGAAATGACTTACCTGCAGTAACAAAGTTGAACAACGGCAGATGAGAGTTCAGATCTCCTGAGTCACTAGCCAGGACCCCTTGCTTGGCACTACTTGTCGCCAATTGGACACTTGAGTTAGAGGGACTGGATGCTGGACTGCTCCCTGGGAGAAGGGAGGTTGAAAGGCAGTTTCTGATGTCAGGCAAGGTTCAGTGATGACCAGGATTCTGGGAGTAGGAAAGTGTTGGTTTATTCAAGGGAACTGTCTTTTCATCTCTTGAACCCAAAGATCAAGTTCCTGAAATTTGTTAACAATGGAGCTCCATGAAAATGCTGCCAAGATGCCCTGAGATCTGAAGGAAAAAGCCGTTGTTCAACTTGGAAAAATACCTTACACATATCAACATGAAAGGGCTTTCACGTTCTTCCTTTCAGTTAAGGAAACCATTTGCAGATCACAAGGCTCTACCAAGAAAGGTTAAATAATTTCCTCAGACTGACCCTCCAAATTGGGGGAGGAGGGATGAATTCAGGTTTACTGATTCCTCATCCATGGCTTTCTGTAAATATTTACTGTGTCTGGGAAGGTTATTTGTGAGAAAGCACAGAGATGATGTTTCCAAAGTCAGAAAGGGAACCATGCTGGAGAACTCCAGGGGAGCTACAGTTGATTCTTGTTATGCCTGCTAGTTAGGTTCTATAGAAGTCACCGCAAACAGTGATTTAGTGAATACAGAACCATTGCTTCTGGGGGAAATACAGGGTTGAGTTCCCTTAAGCCTCTGTTCATAACGTTTTCATCATTAAGTGATCAGTACATGACCTTGTTTTGTGCATGTTTCTGTAAGGACACCTTATTTAATGCATACTACTGATCCAGTAACATGGAACCCATGCCCAGCAGCACTATTACTCATATCTGAAAGAAGCTTATCTAACATACATATTTTTTCCATGAGGCACATCATAATTTCTTGCACTTAGGAACACTAGGCAGCACTGTGCTTTTAAACATTTTAAATAGTAAAATTACCAACAAAAAGCACAAAAGTGCAAAATAAAGTGGCACTTGTTTACAGTAAGAAAGCTGAAACAAAAAGAACGTCGTCTTGTCGGTCTCAGCTGGGAGCAGGTGCTCTGGGCAACCGGCATTTTTTGCTGTTCTGTATATCTCTGTGAATGACCACGAAAGCACCCTGAGTATTGATTTTGGGGTTACAAATACATATTAGCAGGTAGGCAAATTTGCAAATGTGGAATCTGTGATCGTGAGAATTGACTATATTATTAAGTCACACTAAATCCTGAATTATATGCCGAATCACTACCTCGAAAGCTCTTAATGAGACTAACCCCCAGCTCCCCACCTCCATTAAGCAGGTTAACAGGAGCCATTTGTACTACAGGGAGATGGCAAGACTGACCCATCCACTTCCCAGGGCTCCATAAGCCTCTGCAAACTCCCTTGCAGTCTTTCACACTCAGGGAAAGTAGAGCTCTCACCTTGTTCACACAGTGTCTTCCCCGAAGGTATGATTTGGGGGGTGGGGGAGGGAGGGGGAGGCTGTTGCAGGGAGATTTTCTTCAGAGATTCATATTCCTTTAACAGCCTTTTATTTACTCTCTACTCTGTGTTAGGCATTGTTCTAGTGCTGGAGACGTAGCAGTAAACAAAACAGACAAATCCCTCCTCTGATGGAGCACACATTCTGAAGGGGCAGACAATAAATTGACCGTAAATAACGTATAGAGTAGGTTCAACAGTGGTGAGTACCAGAGGGAGAAAGAAAGCACAGGTAGATCCAGAGTGTGGAGGGTACTGTGCTTCTGACAGTGGAAAATTGACGTAGGAAAAAAGCAAAATAATTTGCTACAGTATATATACGTATACATACACACACACATTTATTTTAAATGGTTGCAGATAAAATTACTTTAGAAAAAGTTAAAGTTTGCTAAGTTGTATTTCCTTTGTACTATGAAGAAATAATAAAGGATTGCTAATTTAATAGTCTGACATAAGTAACGGTATATTTTTACTAATAGAAATTTCACAATTTGTACCTTATTTTGTACAATGGAGAAATTGAGTATAATTTCACTTTTATTATGAATAGATAACATTTGAAGTCATGAAAAGATTGTACATCTCATTGTATGAGTGGTATTGAAATGCCTTATTTTTATATATAATAGCAAAGGTTCTCATTCCAATCTTATGGAATCAGAATAATGGAACAGGATATATTAACTTGGATTTACAGACCTATATATTCACTTTTAGTGGGGAGGGGACAAGTTAGAATATACTGAGGGTAAACTCTGTTTTGACATTAAATAAGTATTGTTTCTGACTTTACAGAATTCACATATGTCTTAGGGCACCAGGGTGGTGTAGTAATTAAGCAGATAGATGGGAGAGCTAGACTACCTGAGTCCAAATGCTGGTTCTTCTGTTATTAATGGCACGAGTTAATGTCTCCAACTTTCCCATCTGTGAAATGGGAAATGATAGTACCTACCTCATAGGGTTGCTGTGAGGATTAAATGAGTCAATCTATATTAAGCTCTACACTAAGAATAGGGTCTGGCACATAGTAAGCACCATACATATGTTTGTTTGTTATTAAAAAACATATTAAGTTTTCTTAACACTATCTACACATCCTAGAAAATTGTGGCAGGAACTTTATCAGAATTTAAAAGTCACAGCTGTTTACCAATACCGACTACTCTAGAATCACTTTTTAAATTAAAAAAAAAATCCACCTTGAGGCGGAGGCAGGGGAGAAGTGAGAGGTGGCCCGGCGGGGTGTCGGCGCTTGGAGGGGCGGGCAGCGCGAGAGTGAGCCCGTGGCTGAGTGAGTTTATCCCTGCGGGCGGTGAGAGGCCTGGGGCCTAACCCGGAGGAGCAGGGTCGCGGCGCCGCCAGCTAGCAGCGGCCCCCCTCGCGGTCCCTGGTCCCGGCGGCGCGGTAGCGTCCCAGTTGTGAGGAGGCGGGGAAGCGAGTGACCGGCCCCAGCCACGGACGCTGGACATGGGCCTGGGCCCTGGGCTGATGCAGAAGTTCAGCTGCCTGGGCACCGCCGACAAGGACGTGCTCATCTCCGAGTTCCAGCGGTTGCTCGGCTTCCAGCTCAACCCGGCCGGCTGCGCCTTCTTCCTGGACATGACCAGCTGGAACCTACAAGGAGCAATTGGCGCCTAGTATGACTTTGAGAGCCCAAACATCAGTGTGCCGTCTGTGTCCTTTGTTGATGTCACCATAGGAGAACGGGAGTCGATATCCCCTTATGCTCAATATATAAAAACATGGCGGATCCAAAATTCTGGGGCAGAGGCCTGGCCTCCAGGGGTTTGTCTTAAATATGTCAGGGGAGACCAACTTGGACATGTGAACATGGTGTTGGTGAGATTGCTAAACCCCTAGGAGATTGCAGATGTCAGCGTCCAGATGTGCAGCCCCAGCAGAGCAGGAATGGATCAGGGACAGTGGCGGATGTGCACTGCTACAGGACTCTACTATGGAGATGTCATCTGGGTCATTCTCAGTGTGGAGGCGGGTGGACTTCTAGGAGTAGCACAGCAGCTGTCATCTTTTGAAACGGAGTCCCACACACAGCCACATCGCAAGGTAGAAGGAAGCTTCACCCCGTTTGCTTCTCCCCAAAAGAAACGACAGTCAGATGAAAACAAAGACCCTGGGGGTTCCGGGTTCGACTCGATCAGCAAAAACACATGAGGTCCCGCGCCTGACCAAACCGAGCAAGATGAGAGTAGACTCTCCCAGAACTCTGTAGATCTGTCCCCCAGCAGTCACGCAAACAACTTATCAGTCGTGACTTACAGTAAGGGGCTCCGCGGGCCTTACCCCTTCAGTCAGTCTTAAACGGGTGTCACCAAGAAGAAAAATTAACGAAAGACACAAGGCTTGACTCTGGAAGGGGAGGGCAAGGGGTTCCTCTGGATTGCAGACCACATCACAGGGACCCGTGGCTCTGACCCCCATCCTGGAAGAAGAGGAAGAATTAGAAAGACTACTTTTGAGTAAACTCAGCGTGTGTGTGTGTGTGTGTGTGTGTGTGTGTGTGTGAATGCTGAGTGGTGGGAGTGGTGTTAAGGCTACCGAGAAGAAATCCTTGCAGCCACTTTGGGTTTTGTTTATTAGGCGTCAGTCTAACAAGTCATTAGGGCGCTCGGGAAGGAAAAAAATGTTTAAAATGAGGGGAAAAAAGCCATCTTTTAAGCAAAAGTTATTTTGCCTACAGACAGCTTGTAGTTTTGAGCACATGTTAATTTTTTCCCCTCTTTCCCCACTTTTATTTTTTTAGATAAGGGATAACATTCTGTGTATAGAATAGCTGCTTGCTCTGGGAAGCAATTCAGGTTCAAAGCTGGCACGGCCTGCTTGGGGACTCTGTGGGTAGGTGCTATAGGAGGACACCTGCTGTGCCACCTGATTCCACAAGACTCTGACCCCATTTGTTTTTAATGGCATCAGCCTATGGGTTATCACGCTTTTCCTCTTCTTTTCTCTTTAATCTTCTATTGATTTACACCTTTGACGTTTGTATTCGTCAACCCTGTGGCTTGTTAGCATCAGAACCCCTGAAGACCAAACTTCCCTGTGTGGCCAGCAGAGGAAGCCTGGAGGACAGATCTCAGGTGACGTGGGAGTTTGTGAGGCCGAGAGGTGACCTCCTGCACACACTCGTGACAATTCAAATTGCTTTCCTTCCACGTTTCTCTTGGCGGAGAGAAACGCCATCACGCTTACTGCTCTTTCGGATTCTTGGTACACAGCGGCTCCCCATTCTCTCTGGGAACGGTGCCTCTGTGCTGTGTATCTGTGCGTGCTGCGTGCACACACACACGGGTGTTGGTGCAGCTCACCAGCGAGTGTGCAGCCGGCGAATGTGAAGGTGTCCCCTGCTTCTCTGTTGTCACACAACTCCCTTCCCTGCGTTTCCCTCCAATTGTCCTTTGTGGTGTTTTCGCAGCCTGTTAGTGGAGGCTGAGCTGTTAAGGTATGAAAATGGAGCCCCAGATGGGGAATTTGCCGTGGGGAAGGGCCACACTTACTGACTGCGTGATCTTGGAGACCTCATTTTGCTGGGAATGAAAGGACCCCCTCCCTGGGCAGGATGCTTAGCTATTGGGAGGTGGCGGGCAAGGCACAGCCCAGCCGGAGCACAGGTTGGTTGGCTGGCTGCTCCCTGGGACAGGTGGCCCCACTGGCATGCCGCGCGTTCCGAGCAGGTTGAGATGTGGATATCTCCACAGGAAGCTCAAACCAGGCCAGAACAGCTGTGTGCCAAAGATACAGGAGTATGCAAAGTCCCTCTTCTCTTCTCCCCCCGTCCTTCCCTCGAGTCTTGGTTCGTTTGGTAGCCGGGCATACGGATCTAGGGTGCCGTTGCTGGGTCACCTGCCTGTTGCCACACCGCCCTCCCCCCCCCCCCGGCTGTGAGACAGCAGGGAGTCCAGCTCGCTGATTGGCCGCAGGGGTCATGTGGCCTGGGTGTGGCTGAGAGTCTGTCTGGCTCTGTCTGGGTGTCTGAGTTCCCAAAACGCGTGTTGTTTGTTCCTCCTCGTCCACTTCTGAGACGGTTATGTTTTTCAAGCTTGACTGTGAGAGAAAAGCTTGTATGAAATTCTCCCTTTGCCTCCCCACCTCACCCCAAATAAAAGGGGGCGTAAACATTGGTCCACTGGAGAAGCCCCGGGGGAGGGTGGAGCCTGCCTGCTGAAAGGGCAGTGCCGCTGGGGCTGGGGCCGGACTAGAGCTCGCACTGGAGCACCTACTTTCTATGCACACACAGAGCACCCCATTCCCAGCAGAGCAGAGGGGAGTCCCTGCCAGGTGCCCAGGCCACCACAGGTCCAAGCCAGGGGCTCACGATGGCTTTTTGTTTGAGGGCCCTATTGGGCCCAGACTGGTGCTACTGTTGCTGCCAACCTCCGGGGACACCACCACCCTGGAGCCCACACATGCCCAACCATTCTGCTCACTGGATAGCCCTCAAAGCATCACATCTCCAGCTGCCCCTGCAGGATCATGGGAGGCTTTACACCCGCTGGGCTCCGGGCTTCCTCATCTCCCCCACGCTAGGTGCCCCTTCCCCTTTTCCCAGGGGGGCTGCCCGCCGTTATGCAGCAGTGGCTTCACGGGTCCCCGTCAGTGGGTCTGGGCCTGCCACAAGGATTCTGCTCCTCCCCTTGCTTTTAGGCAGTCTCACCTGGCAAGGTAATTGTCCCAAGCACGTTGGATTCTCTCCCAAGAACAAACCCTTTCTGTGCACATCTTTGGAGCGGTGCGCTCCTTGCAGAGGCCAGAGCGAGCGCCAGCCGCGGAGTAGGGGCGGAAGGAGTCCGTGGTCCTCCCAGGGCCTGGCGGCCCTTAGTACCATTCGTCCTGCCTCTTCTCGCTGGTGTGGGCTCTGAGCAAGTCCTCATAGGCCCTCTTTTCCACTGCCTAGTGGGCCAGCAGAGGCTACCCTCTCAGCCCCAGTAGTCTGTTCCTCTTGGACTCTTTACCAAGTCGCAGGCTGCCTCTGGGCAGGACCACCAGCGTCTGACACCCGCGAGGTGAGGCAGGCAGCATCCTTAAGGACCTGAGGCCGGCGGGGGAGGCAGAGGGGCTGAGGCTTGGGAGGAACATGTCTGTCTGCACGGAGTGAGGTGTGCGTGGATGTGTGTGCACGCGTGCCTGCTTTTCTTCTTTTTGCCATGGGGACAGTTGAATTGGGGGCATTTTTCTACAAGAAACAGCCTTCTCTTCCCCCCGCAAGGACTGGCTGTTACCTAACGTCCATCAAAGGCACTTCCAGCCAGGAGAGAACCTCACCAAGACAGCTGGTGTGGCCCAAGGGTGGCCCAGGTGGGAAGTGGGCATAAGGATAAACCCCTCCCCAGATTCACTGTGAGCCCCAGCGGGAGAGGGTGGTGGCGTTGCCAGGGCCCAGCACTGTAAGCTGACTGCCCGTCCCACCCTGCCTCGCCTTTTCTCTGTCTCCTTGGGTGAATGCTGGAGCTGCTGCCCTCTCCTTCTGGACAGTGGTGTGGCAGCAAGCAAGCTGGCTGGCTGTTTGCGGTGGGGCCTCCTGGTGCCTGGGAGGCGACGAAGATGAGGCAGTTTCTCCTGACTGTATACATGAATATTTGTATGATTAACAGAGACTAAAAACACCCTGAAGAAAAAAAAAAATCCAACTTCTCACTCACTTGATTAACGTTGCAGTTATTGGTCAGGCAAGAGAAGTGGCAGGTAGCCCTACGAAAGGCACACGGGCTTCCCAAGGAAGCAGGTGCTGCAGGTAGCAGGGGAAGGAGGAGGGCACAGAGGAAGCCTTCAGGAATTTGCTCTTGAGGAATTTGAGGATTTTGAGTCTTCCAGGATTTACTTGAGGAAGTCACTGGGAATTAAGTAAGGGCCATTCCCTAGAGGGATCTTCTTGAGTGGCAAAGGGCAGTTGAAGAGAAAGGTAGATTATAAAAGGAGTGACAGGAGTGACAGTTCTTTTGAAAATAACAGAACCCTGGGAAAGATCTGGGCAGGGAGGCGTAGAAGGTTCGTTTTCAAGAAGGACAAATGTAGTTGGAAATGTAAGATCATTGTGGAGAGGCAATACAGTGCAGCTGTTAATATCGTGGACTTGAGGACCAGCCTGCTCTACCCCTCACTAACTGGGTGATCATGGCCAAGTTACTTCACCTTTCTGTTTTAGACTGTCTGAAAACTGGGGAATAATAATGCTGATAGTACTTGTCCCACAGGTTGTTGTGAGCATTAAGTGAATATGTAAATATTAAATATATGAAGCTAATATAAAGCTCTTAGGACAGTGTCAGGTCCTGAGCACGGGGACTGTTGGTAATTATTGTTCGTGCAACAGATTTTTAATTTATGAAAAAAATGAATCATGTTTTTTCAAATAAAAATGCACCTGTGATCCTAAAACCCAACACTTTCCACCTCCTTTCAAATCCTTTAGCTTGGGGGATGGGATGTGCTGAGAAGAGGTAAGAGAGAGAACTAAGAAAAGCAGGAGATAAGCAGGGAAGTGAATCATTTTAAAATCTATTAAAACTTTACCCTCGTATTCAGAATAACATGTATCTTTCAGGTTTTGGTAGCTGAAAATTAAATTTCCTAGTATGCTATTTTTTGAGTTAAAAAAATAAATTCCATGCTAAATACAATAAACTTCTGAAATGAAGGCATTTTATAGAAAATTGTTATGCTAATAAGTTAATCAGTATATAGGCAATACTTTTCATTGCTTGGTGGCTTTCATTTTTTACTTTTATAAAGCTAATCTAGGTTGGCTTTAAAATACTGCTTTTTGCAATTATAATAATTCTGAAAATATCAGTTTAGTAAATAGTGTGTATACATGCCCAAATAGATCATTCTAAAAAAATTAGAGAAAATTTTGGAATTTCATTCCCAAAGTGAATATCTGTACTAAAAAATTTCCCCCAATTATTCTTCACCAGAAAAAGCGTGTCGTAGATGAAAGGAGATGAATCTGGAGATGAATCTGGACATCTCAGGAGTGGAGATATTTGGGTACCAGAGCAGATTACTCAGAAGTAAGAAGAAAAAACCCTCCCAGGTAAGATGCTTCTTCCTGGCTCTGGGAACAGGGATGTGCCTGGGGGTTCTCAGGCGTTGGAGAAGCTGATAATCAGATTTTCAGCTATGAGAAAGCTCCGTTGGCAGCCCAGCTGTGAGCAGAATGTGTTAACCGCTGTCCTGTAGCTGCTGATATGATTCTGGGAATTTAGTTTTGCTTCTTGGGGACAGCCCTGGAATAGCATGAAAATTCCAGAAAATTGTATCACACTTTGGCACTGAGCATGTTTAAGTCCCCTTTTGGAGCAAGACTTTTCTCAGAAGTGGTATATGTTGTGAGAATTAATCAACAGGTATTTATTAGTCTCTTCATTTTTAGCACTGTGCAAAGCACAGATGTAAATGCTGACTC